TTTGCTTTCCATTCAACGATTTACAAATGAACGGTTATTCTTTTAAAAGTCGACTATGAATTCTTTGTTTTGGGATGATTTGTTTTGTAATCGAGTGATTGGAACAAGTTAATATGGCGACGTGAACATGGGAGTAAATACCGTATACGTCGATCTGTGGCTTATTTAAAACCGTAATAAACGAAGGAAGACGTGATATGAGAATGAAATGTAAGTTGAAATTAACTTTATATGCCTCAAATTTTCCATCCTATGTTTCTTAATGTAACTTCAGCTGTCTAAGTTCAAAATACAAGTTCGCGAAATTTGACAAATTTTGAAAATATGTAAAAATAGCTTGACTTTGAACTGTATTTTCTCAAAAATAGCCCGTGGCCTCAATTTTAAATATAGCTAAATGAAAAGAAAAAACTTTTCGGCGTTTGTAGGTATCAAACATATCGTCAGGAAAATAGGGGCTCACAATGTTTTAGCTGAGTCTTTGAGACCCAGTTGCTTCGCACGTGTTGTGGTCAAATTTTTGCCAAGAATCAAAGGCCGAAATGTGAACTTCCTTCATGAAAACCGGCTCGAGAAGGGTATAGTTTGAAAATTTAGCTATTAATTTCGATTTCATGAGCATATTTTGGTTACACGTTAAATATTTTTGTACTTGATGAGATTCAAAATTTGTTGTATATTCAAGCCCGGCTTTAGTGTAATTTTGGTGATGACCGGAACAGAACTAAAGATATTTTAAAAACTGGCCGTGGCCTCACGATAAAACTTTCTAAAAATGTTCTCTGTTTCATGTATTTTTATTTGATATCTTAGGTATAAGCGTAAAAATAGGGGCTCATACAGTTTACGAGGTTGTAAAATGCATTACTTGCCTCTATTTTCATGTAAACATTCCAAATTTTTCGACAGCAAAGTAGCAACTGTTTCAGATCGAATGCACACGGACAGCCCACCAGAGACAATGGCAGGGTACTGAAATAGAACGTCACTAAAAAATTCTGTATGATTAATTTAGATCATGTCCATTTTCAACATAAAACAGTCATTTATTTTGTACAAACATTTGGCAATATTTACACGATTGTGCCTTTTTGTAATCACGCGTTGCGTGTATTCCACTCAACTGCGTGACTCATTTTGCTCGCGCATGCTCAGACAAATTTCCCACCTGTTCGCAACCTCGGAATTTCCCAAGAAATCGACATTGTTTTAAGGACAAAAGATGCCTGGGAATTTAAAATAGAACTGTCAAAATTACTGCACACGCGAGTACAGTACAACAACAGTTAAATGATCAATTAGGGCCTTGTCAGATGTAGGCTAATACTGTATATGATCTATTAGCAATTCGATTTCAATTCCCAGGGGCCTAAAATCTTTTATGCTTAAAAATTGCAAAGTGGATTTCTTGGGAAATTCCGAGGTTGCGTTTTTTTATACACCCTGTAGATAGGATCAGCGTTCTGCTGTCCACTATATTTTGTATCAGTTCAACACCAGACATCGCCATCACCAGACACCGTTATGATGTCGAGTTTGACAGAAAAACAATGTGCGTATCACTTGCAGAAAATGCGAACTCGATTCAACAGGTTAGATTTGAATCACGATGGTTTCATATCTCGCGAAGACTACGAGCTCATGGCCACAAAAGTGCAAGAGTATGGTAAATTGAACGCAGAGAACGCCGAATCGACACGCAATGCGTTCATGACTGTTGCTGATGCACTCGGTCTGAAACCCGGAGTAAAGATCCCTGTAGAAGAAGCAGCTAGAAAGGCAAACCGAGAATTCTCAGCAATGGCAACAGAAAAACAACTGGTTTTCCTAAAAGCAACTCATAACCCACTCTTTGATGCCCTGGACCTCAATAAAGACGGTCACATTTCATCGGATGAGTTCAAGGTGTATTTTCAAATAATTGCTCCTGATATTTCTGAAGATGAGGTGACGCATTCCTTCAACGTGATCGATTCGAATAAAGATGGTGAAATTAGTCGTGAGGAATTCATCGCAGCTGCTTTCGATTTTCTTCATTGTTTTGAAGAAACAGAAATATCAAAAGTATTCTTTGGACGTTTGTTATCATAAACTGCACGAGAAGTGAACTGAATAGACTTGTAACTATCAAAAATTATTGAACTATTTGATATGATTAAAAAGTAGAAGTGTATGTTATTTCTTAGTTGGACTTAATTGAATGATCATAGAGTAGCTGGCAGTCTTTCAAGAGCCCAACAAGTGTCAATTAACATGCTCGTTTGCAATAACAGTAATTTGAAGTGAAAAACCGTTTGAAGTGAAACCATGCATGCATGCATGCATGCGTGCACCCTTAAGCTCTACAGGTTTTGAACGTTGTCCAATAGAAGACAAGTTCTGAGAGGTTGTTTAAAGAGAATATTGATGAGACCTGAAGTTTTGACACTCAAGATACAGTCTGAAATCTAACCCCTTCTAACGAGTATCAAAATACGAAATATCCGTCTTATTTCTAAAGTCTGTTTTGCAGTACATGTCATGTCAACGTAAATACATAATATTATATATTTTAATGCTGCATACGTGTTGTATATATTTAGGTTAATTGGATTGTCAACCTATTACATGCTGCATGCATGAGTTATTATACTAATTTGATTCCCCTATTTACATAAACAAGTATAAGATTTACATAAACAAGTATATAGAGCGTTAACTCGCTGGGCGTATACAAATATGCGGACTACAAAATAAAGCTAAAACAAAATGATTTTGAGAGGAACGCCAAAAATATTTTAGGTTTTGAACACTTTTAAATCTTTAATCTGATACTCCTAAATCAGCTTGCACTATACTAGGAGATACTTATATATATGTATAACAAAATAACTATTAACTAATGAACTGTATATATGAAAAACTTTAAAAGGTAAAAATGTACAATAACCTGCCAAAATTATACTGATGCTCTTAATGCAGTTAAAGCAGCACTTTTAAAAGCGTTGATCGCAGGCAATTCGATAGAAGGGAGATTGTTCCAGGTTATCAATAGTTCTTGGACAAAATGAAAATTTGAAAATATCATTGTTACAAGGGATGATGAAAGGGATGATGATTTGGAAGTCGGGATTTTCTTTTTAGAGGGTACACTTCAGGGGGGAAGTTTAAATCAACGCATAGATAGATTTTATTTTGATACGCTAACTACGTCAATTAAAAATATTGATTTCCACGAAGGGCGTGTGTTCAAAAGTTATTATATATAAGTGTTGTTATGACTCTTATGGAATCAAATAAAAGAAAATAGAAATAATCTAACTGTTCCAATTGACAAAATTGACAATATAGACAACTAACAAAACATATAGATAACTATTTACAATAAAGGATTTATATATGTGTGTATAAATATATTATTTAGTAACATGAGAGGCAATTTTTCTTTCAAATAGAGACTGGGACCTAATTCCTCTGATTTCTTTAGGCACTGAGTTCCATATTTTTGCCCCATTAAACATAAAACTCTTTTTCATGCTATTTGTGCGGGGCTGTGGCAAAACGAGTGTTGTTTCATTGTCACGGAGACAGTAATGTGTATTCTCATTCTTGTAGGTAAAAAGGTCAGGCTTTTAGGCCCAGACATATTCAAAATTTTTAACATTAATTTTGCCTTAGCTTTAGTTCTTTGTACTTTTAGTGTCTCCCATCCTAACGAATTTAATGCGATTTGGGCATTAACTTCGTTACCCCCAACTTACCCATGTCCATAATAATTCGAGCGCATCTATTTTGAAGCTTTTGTAATCGTTGTGATTGAGTTTCACCAAAAATAAGTAAAGTATGGTTGTACAATTGCATTAAATATAGAAACAAGTGTATCACGGTCAACAAATTATTTTAGTTTTCTAATAACAGAAATGGCTGATGTGATTTTCTTACAGATACTCTCAGTGTTACTTTTCCAAGAGAGATGCTGATCAACTATTACTCCTAGTGTCTTGCATTCCTTCACTTGTTTAATTGGTCTGTTAATTGGCATGCAGCCTTGGTGGATCTTATAGAACATACACGACTGGTTAATTAAGCAGTATACGCCGTTCAAGTGTGTCCCATCCTAAATTGTTGATCATTGGGGAAACATGGCTGTATCTGGAAAAGTCGTTGTTAACAAATCTTGCGGCGCGATGTGTTGAATCGTTTCAATCTTATGCTTGTGATGTTACTCTGAGTTAGCCCATTGCTCTGCCAACTGAGCTACGCGGTCAGGTCGGACACTCAGAGTAACATCACAAGCATCATATTCACCTGAGTACATTACACTAACACAGAAAAAATCATTTCAATCTTGTCAGAATTCCTTTTAATACGAGGGTTCCAAACGCAACCAGCGTATTCAAGGTTAGGGCGAACTAGACTGAGATAGGCTCTAGCTTTTACTGTAGGAGAGCAGCTTCCTAAGGCTAAGATGCGTTTAAGCAAGCCAAAGGTGGAATTAGTTTTTTTACAAATATTGTCAGTGTTCATTGCAGCGCAAGGAATGGTAACTAGTAATGGTGATCCCTAAATATTTTGTAGAACATTCTCTGCAGATAATCTGACCATTCAAGCAATAATTATACATGTGAGGGATTCTCTTAGAGGTTATTCCTAGACGGTAACATTTGGACACATTGAATTTAAGCTGCCAGCAATCGGCCCACGATGATAGACAGTCTAGATCGTTTTGTAGAATTTGATGATCATCGCAAATACGCGACATTGAAAAAATCGCCTGTTAACAGTTAACGAGCTAAACACAAAATGGAGGTCAGCGCCATAACGTTGTCAGCACGTCCATAACATGTTCGCTATGAATTGGATTGTTCGCTATGAAACAGTGCATATTTCGTTTGCGAAGTTATATTCTCAATTGTATGATGTTACTGCCCCCTTCTACTGCGATCCACGCACCTTACGCGCGTCGACTACGCAGCGGTGTAGCAAAACGTGGTTATATGGCAGAGTATATAACATACAGGTTTCTCACCCTTCGGTGAAGTTGAAATTCAAGTACTTTTTGAGTGGTGGTGCGGGGAGGTGTGCACCTCTGAACTTACCATCTGGTGTATCCGCCTCAAGGTCAGCAACTGCTTTTCGTAACTGATCGGGTGACAAGTTGTCAGGTATTCGCCAATACCTTTCCTAGAAATAAGAAAACATTTATTTATAAGGACTATGGCGTTCAAACCCGCCATTTTAAGTGAACTCTGCGGTCCCTAAATTATCCAAAATCCCTTGACAGTGTTCAACACAAAATGCCCGCAGACCAGGAACTAGCCCGAGTAATCCATAATATCCGCATGTTGGACATAATGCAATAATGCATCCAGCCCACCCATGCAGGTGGATCCGGATCTTCACCCATGCAGGTGGGATCTCAGTCAAGTGGGTTAAAATTTTCTATCCCACCTGATAGTGCCTTCGAGATACCTTTTCGTTGTGACTGAATAAATTCCATTACGAAATTGATAGTGTCTGTCTATAGCAGGTCAATGTTTATTTTTCTTGTCTTACATTCCAAATACGCCGCTCAAAACTAATACGTAGGCCAAAATGGGCAAAAAACATTTCCGTCCCAGTAAGGTGGGATGAAGCGTTCGTACGGAAAATCTTATCCCACTTGACTGACATTCCACCTCGTTAGACGAACACAAATTGAATTTTCTGTGCATGCGTTAACTAGGGCATACGGAGATCACTCATGTGAGTTTTTCCGCTAGCTAGGCTCATATGAATAGATTCCATCACTTTGTAGAGAGAAATGTCGTTGTTAATAAACTGCAGTACTATGGTGCATGCATATACAGCACCTAAGTAGGTGCAGCACACAAAATCGAAACCTGTACCTGTTCGTTGGTCGGCGAGGCAAGTCCTATTTTCTTTAGGAGCTTCTGGAAAGATTTATCTCGGAGAGCTAACTCACTCTCTTCTGTCAACGTGACAAGTGGTAATGGTTGCCAGTCGTCTGTCAAGAATACAAGGTAGTAAACTGTAACATATATTCATGTTGCAATTTATGAGAAATGGTCAACTCTAAAACAAACCAACACTTCTCATCTTCATCTTGTTGAAAATTTTGAAGAGTTCCGACCAACGCGTTAAGCTTAATCATTGTTCGGAATAATATGAAGGAATAAGCGACCTTTGAATTGTTAATTTCTTTCCTGTTCCCAGAAAATATCCGCGACTGAAGCTCCTGTCAAGTAGAGATCGTGACAAATAAGCAGTTCTTATTGGCTATCCGATAATTACTCGCGTTCTCTTATTGGTCAAGCAGAGTGAAAGGTGTGCAAGTGCTTTGAAGTCAAGTAAATCATTTATTCACAGATTGTGAGATACGAGCGTCTTATGTCAATGGAGGACAATGTTGTAAAGGAATAATTAATATGTTTCTGCTAATCTAATACAAATCTATCACTTTGTCTCGTCTTGCCAGGTTAGCTAACGAATCTAATAACAGTAACTAAAAAAAATTGGTAAATAAAGAGTGCAAAAAGCTTCTCTTCTAAGTAAGTGTCAGCTGATATCAAATTTTAAGGTTTTTATGAATCCTTATCGAATAAACTCCGAATTCGAATGTCCGTAAGCCAAACCTATATATTTAATAAATCTGACATTAAGATAATGAACTGGTTTAATACCATCTTCAGCTCTGTCATCGGCAGCTCCATTTAATCTACTTTTGATCCATTCCAGTTGGTCGACATGTTCTAGAGGAAAATGAGAGTAAATTGTAAGGATATTAGGCCACGCAGTTAAATTCAATCTAATTGTAGGTTCATTTGATTCAATAGCATTGGTCCGTGGGACAAGGTGATTTTTTACAACAAAGTTAGAATCCAACTCAAAAGTACAAACTTTCAACAGACACATACTTAACAATCCTTAACACAATTAAGAAGTCAAAAGTTCAAATACCTGAATTTTTTACGACCGCCAACATGTTGGAAAATTCAGTGCTCATTTCATCATTCAAATCAGATTCATCATTTTCATCATCTGATGTTTCGGCATCAGGCTCCTCATCACCTCCGCCATCCTCTATATAAAGAAAAAATAGAACCATTCTCGCGTTGCATAAGATCTCCCCGGCCCCCGCAGAATACAGACTTCTTAATTCTTACAGTGTTACTTTAAAGTTTAAACATCAACAGCCGCGTACTAGGAAACTGCTAAAAATTGCCTTGATTCCCAAATAGATGCTTGTTGTGGAGCGATGTACCGCTAGCGACCATTTGATGGGCAGAGTAGATCCATAGATCTGGAAACGTTTTTGTAATCCGTCGTATACAGTATATATTTGAACCATGTATCCTTTGAGAATCCTTTCTTCTTTTTTCTGATTCTTATTGGAAATGGTATTTTTACCATGTTGATTTTGGGTAAGATAAAAACAAAAGCCTGCAATACTAGTCCTTTAAGGGAGAGATACATTTCATTCATTTAACTACTGTTGTCATTTGCTGATCATGATAGGAATTAATATACAGACCCTAACCTTTAAAATTAATATACAGATCCAAAAAAAAGTATTATTGCACGCTGTTGGCGTCAGCAGCTGAAATAACGCGACGGCTTCAAGAAACCGATAATTACGCGTTTTAACCAATCACGAACGACAATAGACTTTGAGTATAAAATAATCATCATTATTCCATTCTTTATTATTAGCATGACAAAATTACTGGATGCTGATTGGTTAAGAGGAGTACAATTATTTCATTAATTGTACTGCAGTACAATTAATGATTTTCCCAAAACAAACAAAATGGCGGAAAGGTATTTTAAACAAAAATATGAAATGAAATTGCCCTAGAGGAACTAGATGAAAATACGAACAAAAGCACCGAATTTTGCTTTAACAAAAGAACTAAATGAAAATACGAACAAAAGCACCAAATTTTGGTTGAAAGTCTTGCAGGACTGGGCTTTGGGGGAGAATATGATGTTAACATTGAGAAGTACCCAATTTTGTCATGCTAATAATAAACAAGTAATCATGCGATGTTGCTCGTACAATTAGGGATTAATAGTACTCGTGATGTTTGGAAATTTGCCAAATTGGACTCGTCCCGGCGGCTCGTCCAATTTTGGCAAAATTTCCAAACATCACTCGTACTATTAATCCCTAATTGTACTCGCCATCGCATGATTACCTATACTAATTAACCACCACATTAATTATCACATGCTACGAAATGAGTTACAGTAGATGCCTGCATGGCTTGTTACAAAAGAACTACTAACAGTACCTTCGTCACTACCACCATCTTCTTCCTAGTTCGAATAAAGAAATTAAGAAGTTTAATGTTGGCAAATACACATACATTATCAATTTAGAACTCTTACGCTGATTATTAGAACTCTTTACAACTGTTAGGCCATGCATTACCAATTTAGAACAACATGTATGTGGTGTTAAAACATGAAACACATGCAATTAAGCTATACGTTTTGGTTTGTGGAAACACAACGTAAATTTATTACTGCAAAGCTTTCGATCCGTAAGCCCGGATCTTCTTCAATGCTAATAATATCTGTATGAAGATCGGGGCTTACGGATCGAAAGCTTTCTATATAGCTTTCGAAAAATAATCTATATACATGGCGTTTCCAAAACTACGGGATTACCATGTAACACACCTAAACTCCCCCACCCACGAAAGAAGCAGCTCATAATAAAACTAGTGCCACTAAATCCAAACGTTATTGTTCAGAATTCTACGGTACCTCATACTCATTATTGTTTAGTTTCCTTGGTTTCTTGGCACGTTTCTTCCGAAGTATACTGCGGTCTTCAACAATGTTTAGCTTCACCAGTTGATTTATAACCTGAGAAGAGTTTAAAGGTATGACAATACAATAAATGAAAAAATGCAAATGTACATATAGGGATATTCTAACATGTCTAAATCAAGCTAAAATATGATAACTAATCTCGAATCATGAAACGTAT